TTATTCGATTACGGAACTTTAAAAATGAAGGTTAAGTATTTTCCTTCCCTTAGATGTTAATTTTCTATTATATCTTAGTTATAGGCGGGATGAAGGGTGTTTTTCAAATAAATACCGTATTTATAAATAAAGTTTAAATTATAGTTATAACCTTGGTAAAATAATTGGAAGCTACACCGATTTAGTTATCAAAACAGCGCCTATCTATCATCAGATGGAAAAAAAAGTATATTTTGACTTCAGTTACTAATAAATTGAATAATATAAATAACTTACATTTATATGTTTAAATAACTAACTTGTTTAAAATTATTTAATAATTCTAACGTTTAGTTTTTTTAGTATTTCATTGTTATTTTATTTTAAAAGTAATAATTTCAATAGATAATAGTGACGTCTATTAAAAATGTGAAAATTGATAAGGTATTTATTTCAATTACTAATCTATATGTACAGTGATTAAAACTGGTCTGTCTGCAATTATTGCAAAATTTTCATTATAATTATAGTTTTATTAGAGATTTTTATATATGCCGTGACCAGATCGTAGAATTGATCAAATATCATAAAGTAGTCTATCGTTTCGTGAAATGGTGTGGTCTGTTTGTTGACCATCTCATGATATTCTCATACTTGACCAAATCAATGAATAGAAATCGTATGAAGATATTAATAACTAAACACAACATTGCTATTTCATGATATGGTCTTATGACGATATCATTAAACCGTTTTTCACCGCTAGCGGTGTTGATAGCTGATATTTTTTAACAGAAACAGAACTTTTAACACAATTGACATCACTTTATGCCTTATTGATATAATAAATAAATGTTCGCTTCTAACACTGATATCGCTGATATTACTAATAATAGCGTCATCTACTTAATACTAAATAAACTAAAATGGTAAGTCACTGATAAAATTAAATAACAGAATGCTACTGAATATACGATGTAAATAATTGAAAATTAGTTCGTGGCAACGATGTATGTGTTGTGTAATTACTAGGTAGATGTGGCCAACAATCATGCAAAAGCTTAGTTTCAGTTTTTATGAATTGTATTTTAAATACGAGGGCCGTATAGCTCGCCGCGTGATTTCATCATGTCACGGGAGCAAAACGTGTATGATTCCCTCGAGGATGAATCTGTTATAGAAAATTTTACCTGCTGACTTAACACGTGTACGTTAGAGTGGTGAAGAATACATTCGTGGGGAAACCTAGATGTCTGAGTAATTCAAATATACATGGAGATGTGCAAACCGTTAATATGCATTGAAGCATTGCAGCATACTCTATTTTTCAGCCTACAAAACATAATAGGTAATGAGGAGCCCTGTGCACAGTAGCGAGACGTATATTAGCTGCGTCTTTACCTTTTTATCTTTATAGAGACAAATCAATTTGTAATCGCGTTGGGATCAGCAGCGCAGCGAATACTTTTTTGGTCAAAAACTCTCTGCTGTCTGTGCCCAGTAGTAACATGTATGTAAGCTACTAATTTTTTACTTTTCATGGGGCAATATATGCATTTTTTATTTTATTCATATAATTGGGTATGTTACTTTTTGTCTTTACTGTACCGTAAATATTAAGGGTTGCAAAGATGAGTAGACCACATTGTCGTCAGCCTATCAAAAGTCCACTGAAATGAAAATAGGCCTCCCCCATAAATTGTCAAATAGCTGGATATTTGCCATAGTTGCCACGCTTGGTAGGCGGGTTGACAACCGCAGCTATTATTATTTTGATCTGTTGTCAGGAAGATGATGCTGCCTATCTCCTATTTGTTTTCCTATGTCGCCTCTTACGACTACATTAAATAGGACTAGTGATATGAATAAAATATCTCAAATAAACATTATACCGTAAATTGATAGATGACCATGAAATTTATCATTATTTTGTTAAAACTAAATTAACTTTAATTATGAATGAATGTAAAGAGTAAAATGTAAATAATAATAATAAATTTTGATTACAAGACAATTTACCTTTCTTATGGATACATCGGAAGATACGCCCGATATAAAAATTAGTAGGTTTTTCTAGACATATATATATATATTGACGTGTATATATGTACGTGGTATGTAGTAATTCCAAGTATTCGTATGTTTGTACATTGATTTAGCTCTTCCGACTTCAGAATATGATATTATTTTATTCTTTTTAGTTCTTTGAAGGCGGCTTTAACTTTTTTTAAAGATATTTTTTCAGACACGTCTATTGTGCAGCATTTAAACGAGCCTTTATGTAGAGACAAAAATATTACAGCAATTGACAAGTCTCGGTTGTTTAATGACGAGCTTGTCCATCATGATTTGCGATTCTTGACTTTTAACCTCTGCAATAAATGTTAGGTCCCAAGTCACACGTAGTTATTTTGTGTTAGTTTCCGTCAATGAGTACAACCTTGGCGACTAACTTCTCCAATTATCACTCGGGGTCCACTTTCCATCACAAGTGACAAATTAACAACATAATCAACAAATTAAGACAAGCTTCAACGCGATTTTGCTATTGTCCTTCAGTAAATTGGTAAGTTACCCAATTTGCGACCTTCTTTATTAATCTACTTAGACGCAAACACTGAACTCTATATACTATACAAGTACGCTGGACTGGTTATCCCCTACGAATTGCTTATGCCGATTTGAAGCGCTCTCATTGTTCGTACCGGGAACTAAAATTGACATAACATGCCAAAGTCTGTTGTGTTATTTAAATCGTATTTCTGTATTTTGAACTTTCAAACTAAATAATGAAAGTATTTTATGTGGTTTGATTACGTGTGATTTTAGTTATGTACATAATAAGAATTATATTAAGTAATAATAAGAGTGTGCGTAACATGTAAAGTAAAACTCGTTACCAAAAGGAAAGTGAGATAAAATTCCACAAATAAGTTTATTTGCAGCTACTTAAAAATACTTAAAAATTTCTTACTAATCTTAATATCGTAATTACTAACATGTTTGGCTTTATATTACTGAATTATGATAAACAAAAAAATTCAATAGGGTTGTCGAGTTCCTTGTCTATAATACTTTTCGATGTTCTTTTCTACCCATATCTGTTAACAACGGACAGCAGATAATTACCAAATGTTTATTAATTAACAGGTTTCCAACTCACCCTAAACTAAAATTATGGCTAAAAAGCACAAAAATTGTGTATTGGCGTACGAAACAAAATAGACATTAGACATGAGAAACGCACCACTTTGAAAAAGTACAGTATACACACAATATTTTCTGGTAGTACCTGTAGTTAGTATAAAAGTATTAGATTATTATTTTGAATGTTTTTTATTTCTTCTCTCCTTATTTTTCCACCAGACTGAAGGGCCATAACCAAGTGTAGAAAGGTCGCCTAATGATGATTTTGTATTTACAAGACGTAAATTTGTTTAAATATGACCGATTTATTATATTAAGGGAATAAATTTATATTGGGTCTGCAAAATTAGTAGTGTCTTTAGTGATCTTGCGTGAGTTTAGGTGAGAAATCAACTATCTCCGCGACTTTGGCGGGGCTGTACCACTTCGTGCTTCCGAGTGTTCATTGTTTCCTGGCTCCATGGCTGCCACATATCGGGCTCGGATAATCCGTCTTGCAGGTGTGGTAAGAGGCCTCAAAGGGCAGTGCGCCTTGGGTTTTTGCTGTACCTTATCTGAGAAGGAAAAGGGGAGGAAAGCTCCTCAACTAAGGAGGGGTTCTCGCTGGTAGGGCCGCGGATGTGTTTGCGTTTTCGTAGCGCTGCTAATGTGTGGTAAAGATGGAACACCATGGGATTTTAGTAGGTGCGAGTCCGACATAATCCGTTCTTGCCCCCGCGAAGCGGGTATGCGCAGGCATTTCCTCATTTGAAACCCGGAACAAAATTATTTCTGTAGTTACGAATGAAAACGTAGATAGACAAACGCAGCGTCGATCTTGGTTTTATATAAGGTATAAAGCTTGCGTCTAAGGCCTAAGTATTTATTGATACATTTCTTTATTTTATGGCATTATATTAATATGATTCAAAAATAGAATGGACTCTACGGGTGGGTATAGAATTTTTATCGATAAAATCTCACACTGTCTTATCTCTATTATTGGTTCCGTGGACGTTCACTAGTTACTTACCAGAACCTTTCAATTTATCAATAGCTCACGTCTAAAATTCTGTACTAAACAATTAGAACATGAAATAGAACTTTGTTGAAAAAGTTAAATAAATTCTATAACAATAATAATGAGAGAATTAAAAGTGTGTTATCCGTAGTGTGAAAAATTTTAAGTATTTAATTTGATACGGAAGTTTCATTACTTATGTATCATAATGATGCTGTCATCATGTCATTAATATTCATACGCGGCAGTATTTAAAATAAATCTTGGCTCTAACCAGTCTATTTTTTTATCTACTATTGTACTAAATCATTATAAATAATTTACAGTTTATACAAGCGAGTCTATGCGAATACGGTCTCCAAATGTCAAACTCACCTGTACTTGGTAAAACTGATCGGCGAACGATGCGATGCTCTGCAGCCGACTGATGAAATATCCAAACAATAATTTCAAACCCAAATCCCACAGATCGGCCTTGAAGAGCAGCATTACCAGAGCAAGGGCTTCTGAGAGGCAAGAAGCCTCTTAGAAGCTTCTAAATTTTTCGTAATTGTCAATCATTACAAGAGCAGTACCGAACGTATCACGCCTTAAATGCATATTCTTCAACGCTGTATTATTTTGGTCCGGGAAAATTTAAGGACCACCTTTTCCAAATATATCCATCAGTAAACCTTTATGATATTTGAAAGGGACGAAGTGGTCGATCCTGGTATATTGCTAGCAAAATAATATGCATAATATTACAAGCGAAAGTAAAAATGGAACAGGACGTATTATTTACTTACTAGAATACTGCCATTGCAAATTAAATATGGCTAATTATAGACAACACACAGTTATAAAATTGAACATAAACTAAGAGAATACTCACTCTTCAGGCAGACTCGGGGCGCCCTCTTCCTGTCCCGGGGCATTGATGTGATATACGCAGAAGTTATCCAGTAGAGCTCGCATGTCCACGAAGTTGAAGAACGGTTGGAAGCAGATGTCTGTAAAAATGAACGCTTTTTATTTATTTGCATAAAATGCAAATACTATTTGAATTTTAGTAAATAAGGACTCGGTATATAGAAAGATGACAAGTTTTCCGATGATATAGAATTTTCATATTATTGTACTCACTTCACTCTTATAATTTAGAATTTTCTGTGGTTATTAAAATTGAATTAAGTTTAATATATGATTATATATTTGTCTTAATAAAAAAATAGTAAAATATATGAATGTGATCTAATTTTTTTTTATTAAGATAAGGGTGACAAACGAGCACACAGTCCACCTGATGGTAAGTGGTTGCTGTGGCCCATACACATTTGCATCTATCCTCGATTACGAATCAAAATGCAGATGCGTTGTCACCCGTGTGGACTAAGATGGAATGCCTCTTTTCCAGTAAAAAGGGTCTCCGGTTCTCTACACTCACCATACGAAACACAGCAGCATTAAGCTGCTATTTTACGCTGGTATTCTGTGAGAGCGTGGTCCTTCCCCGGTTGAGCCGACACATTCGTGCTACAACTATACCAGTAATATAGCTCTGCCACGTAAGAATATTACTCATCACATAACATAACAACATTAATGTAATCAGAAAGCTTAATTTTTTAAAGTCAAAAACACTATTGCGACACATTAGAAAAATGAGAAAATATAAAGGAGTCTCAGTTTAATTATCACGGTGGAATTAAATAAATTCGCAAAGCGGCGTTCACAAAGTGTTTTACACTACCTACTCGTTCGCTAGGCAAATAGGGAGAATATTTCACAAAAGTTATTCTGGCAATTTCAATTTAGAACGATATTCAAATATTTAACAAAAAATCCGGGTAAAAGATTTACTCAGGTTATTTGACTACTCATTGTTAGCTCGCCGGTTGTTTAACTGAGGCAAGCAGTGTTATCTACAAAGTTCCCTGCGGCTGTAAAGTTAAAACTGCAAGAAAATAGTTTTAGCTATTTGATGTGACGCCTATAAGTGAAAGAGGTAATTATGAAACTATTGCATTGTGGAGATGAGAAGACATGGTTTTGAATGAAATGTTTGATTAGATTAGAACTTTGTGTTATCAAGAAATAATAATTGTGCGACAGTAATTAAGCCGTGTGTGGCATAAAGGAATCCATCGCTCCATTTCATCCCGTAAGTATTGTAAGGGGAGACTTAGAATCTCGAAAGATGGCAATATAACACATTCATATCCAAAGTTGTTTTTTTTTTATAGGATAGGGTGACAAACGAGCACACAGTCGACCCGATGGTAAGTGGTTACTGTGACCCATAGTCATCTACATCTATCCTCAATAAAGACTCAAAATGCAGATGCGTTGTCACCCGTGAGGACTAAGATGGAATGCCTCTTTTCCAGCAAAAAGGGTCTCCGGTTCTCTACACTCACCATACGAAACACACCAGTTTTGAGCTGCTATTTTACGCTGGTATTCTGTGAGAGCGTGGTCCTTCCCCGGTCGAGCCGACCCATCCGTGCTACAACTATACTACTAATATAGCTGCAGCATGGCTCTACCACGTTTAAAAAAAGTAATAAAAAGCATGCAGCGTAGGTACGATACATCAGGTAGTGCGATAGACATTCTGCCTGCCTACAGTGGCTTGGTAAATCCTCCTTTTTTATATTCTACTAAGCCAGCGCTTATCTACGATCCCACCTGATGGTAAGTGGTGATGTAGCCTAAGATGGTGAAGCGCACTGACTTAACAAAAGCCTATTCACTCTTGCCTTGAAGACACCCACACTATAATCGGATGGAAAGACAGATGCTGGCAACTTATTCCACTCCTTTGCTGTACGCATGATGAACGACGTTGCGAACTGTTTGGTTCGAATGCGTGGTAAGTCAACAACGAAAGAGTGGAGACTGGCCGAACGTCTGGTTGTCCGATGGTGGAAGGGAGAGGGTGGAATTAAATTATGTAATTCTTACGCACACTCTCCGAAATGCATCCTGTAGAAAACCGAAACGCTGGCTACTTTACGTCGGTGTTCGAGCCTGATAAGATTGGTTTTAACCAAATTCGGGTCACCAATAAGCCTCTTAGCACGCCTTTCCATTGAGTCTAAAGCTGCTAGGTGGCATTTTGCAGCACCAGCCCATATATGGCTGCAATACTCCATGCACGACCGGACTTGCGCTTTATATAAAGTAAACAGCTGTCCCGGCGTGAAGTATCGCCGCACCTTTGCAAGGACTCCCAGCTTCCTTGCAGCTGCTTTGGCCTTGGACTCAATGAACCGACCGAAGTTCAAATTTGAGGATATTTCAAACCCTAACATCTAAAGGCGGTCGGTATATTTCAGTGATACATTTCGGAAAGAAAGAGCCAAGGTGAGCTGGCTCCTTTTTGCAGTGAAGAGACACGTTTGTGTTTTGGAGGCGTTGAACTTCACAAGATTGGCATCGTCCCAATCGGAGACTGCCTGTAATGTGAGATTCACACGCTCAACCATAGCTTCTCTTTCGGACTGGATTTGATCCCGAATGGCCCGAGGACTTGGTTGGTATCTCTCGACAACTGCGCTATCGTCTGCATACCCATAGATACCGGGCATAAGCAGATCATTAATATGCAGCAGGAAAAGAGTTGCGAAGAGAACGGACCCCTGAGGAACACCGGCGTTAGTCGCCATAGGATCGGATGAGCAGCCATCGACGACGACCCGGAGAGACCATTCACTCAGAAAGTCCTTTACCCATTCAATCAGACCAGAGGATAAGCCGTACGCTGAAAGCTTACCCAAAAAGCTAGTGTGCCAAACTCTGTCAAAGGTTTCGAGACATCAAGGGAAGTTCAAGAAGTCCCGGGTTTAGAGCGCTTTCATTCATACGAACTTCCACATTGATAACGTTAGCTCTTTATTGATAACAACTCTGAAGATATGTTGTGTAAATGTTTGTTATAAATAGTCTATATAAAATCGATTTATATGTAAGCCGTTAACAGATCGACAGCAATTGGTATCTCTCCCTAATAAAAGTGACATGCCTAAACTCTCTGAAATATTAAATGAAAAATGTGTCGACGATTTACGTGCTGTACTTTGAAGATAACGACGCATAAAATGCGCGCACAAAACAGCCTTTTAGTAGGTTTTATATTTTGATATAAATAAGCTTTATATTAGGTTTAATTTCCTTTCGGTGTAAAGATGAAAGAAAAAACTTTTCGAAATCGCTCCAATATCACGGCTAATAAAATTTATTGTAACATGAAAGTCAAGTATAATTGTATATAAAGTTATATGTGTATATAAAGGATTAATTTTGTATTATTCACAACTTTGAAGATATTATGCAAAACTTTAATACAACACTTGAACATAGAGTAGCCATAAGGCGTTCCTTTCTGTCCACACGGTCCTATGTGTATAATAAAACTCGCGGTAGCGGCACGGACTGCTCACTAGACTAAATCTACTTAGTTAGTTGCGCGGCTAAATCGTCCTACAAAAATGCCGAATTGTTCAGATTTTTTTTGCAAAAAGAGATCTTTTATACATGGTAGAGCCGTGCTGCAGCTATATTATTAGTATAGTTGTAGCACTAATGAGTCGGCTCGACCGGGGAAGGAAAACGCTTTCACAGAATACCAGCGTAAAACAGAAGCTTAACACTGCTGTTTTGTATGGTGAGTGTATAGAACCAGACCCTTTTTAATGAAAAAGAGGCATTCCATCTTAGTCCTCAGGGGTGACAACGCATCTGCATTTTGAGTCTTTATTGAGGATAAATGTAAATGACTATGGGTCACAGCAAACACTTACCATCAAGTGGACTGTGTGCTCGTTTGCCACCCTATCCAATAAAAAAATACAAAAAGATGACCTTAAAAATAAGTAATTTTGAATCACATTATCTACTTCTTTTTAAATTTAAAAATTACAACAAAATTGGTCGTGTTGTTTCGGATTTGTTTACCTACACAGGCCGCTCGTCCTCACACAATATGCAGATCGGTCGAGCCACTGATCCGAGTCTATATCAGAGTTGTCGCTGTCACTGAGCGATACTGTTATAATGTATCTATGTATGTGTGTGTAAAATTAAGTTTATTGTTTTGTTATGTCTGAGTTTCGTAGGAACAGACGATTGTTTTTGGGTGCGCAGATTTTCCCGCATAAAAAATAACTGACAGTTCTGTATCGGGAAAAAACGCTATGGCTACTTCCCTCCGGTCCGCCGGTGGCTTGTGTCGCTCTATGCACTTATTTACAATAAATTCTCGACAGGTCAATATGTATATATTTTTTCCGTATACACTTTAAATGATTAAATCATATACACTTTATATGATTAAGATGTTTCGCACTTGCTAACATTTTCGTCTTTGGCACCTTGGGTAACTTCATCAATTTTTAAATAAATTAATAAATATAACGATACTCGTACAGAAAAACAGAATATACCGATACGGTCAGTGAATTTAAAAGAAAATATTAAATAACACAAAGTAAATTAGGTTAGTTAATCCGTTAATTTTCACAAATAAGTAACTAAATTTAACATTTACAATTTAAAAATAAAATAATAAAACAATAAAATAATAATAATAAATAAAAATTTACCATTTTCATTTACAATTATATATTTATACTGCCCAACCAGATGAGAAAACTTTATAGATACCCCAAAATAAAAATAAATTTTGCGGCGAAATGACATTTCACTAGTCGCTTTAAATGAGACCTGTGATGGAAGTCTCTTGGAAGCGACCGCGTGTTTATATTACTCTTACTTTTTGAAGCGCGAAATTTGTAAGGTATCGGTATATCAGCAAATTAATACCAACTCCATCGATGTATCAGGGTTATTTTTCAAAGAGTAGCCAAATTTTATATAATATATAACAATTTAAAATAATAATAATTTAAATAAGTTTAATTTAAATATATAATTATTTATTTATTTGAACTTAAAGTTCAAATAAATAAATTATTATATACCGATATTACATTTTTTGAAAATACGAGTA